GTGAGGTGGTGGAAGGGTGTTGAGGGTTGTGTGAAGGGGGTGTGAAGGTGTGGAGGGTTGGTGGTGAAGGGGTTGGTGGTGAAGGGGTTGCTGGTGAAGGGGTTGGTGGTGAAGGGGTTGGTGTGAAGGGGAATCTTGAAGGTGGGTGAAAGGGCGGAAAGGTAGGAGGGGTCTGGGGTGGGAGGGGGTTGCTGCTAGGCAGTGGATCTCAAGAAAGCAAGATGGGTGGTGTGGTGAATCAGGAAAGAGCGTTAAGGCACGTGGGAAGTATAGAGCAGGCCGAGTGGTGAGGGTAATGGAGGGGGTAGAGGGGTCTGAATCAGGGTGGAGGTGGGTGAAAGGGTGGGAAGGTATCGGACGAGGGAGAGGCTGATGGAAGCTGGTGAATCGGAAGAAGACAAGGGTGGGTGGAGTGGAGAATCAGGAAAGAGCTGTGAGGGACGTAGGGGGTTTAGGGTGAGTCGATTGGAGAGGGTAGTGGGGGACGGGTTTGCGCAGATTAAAACGGGAAGGAGTGGAGTGCTAAGAAGATGGTCAAGGAAGGGGGTGCAGGGCGAGACGGAGCGTTGCAAATTGGGATGGGGAGAGGGAGGGCAACGTAGTTGTGTGGTGCGCTGGGGAGTGAATCGCAGCGAGGGGGCGAAGGAGGGAAGTGGGACAACTGGGCGGTGAAGCGTGGGTGGAACGGTCCGAGGCGGAGTGGATTGAGGCGGAGAGACGCGAGGCGGAGTGGTTTGGGTTGGCGCGGAGCGGAGAGGAGCGGAGAGACCTGGGGGAACACACTGAGTGGAAGGTGCATTTCGTGGAGGGGAGGGGAGGGAAGGAGGGCAGCATGGAAGAGGAGGGCGGCGGGGAGGGGCGGTGGGGCTGCCTCCTCATTGCCATGCTGGCTTCGCGGTCGCCAGGCCGTCGCCGGGCCGAGCACAGCGCCCCAGCACGTTCGCTTGCCCTGGCTCCGTCCCCCACCCGCACTCACGCCCCTCTCCCCAAGCCCCGGCCTCGCAACCGCCGCCGCAGCGGACAGCCGCCTGCTATTGCGCACGGATTCCGCGCTCAGGCCTCCAATCGCACTAGGCGGCGTTCGACCGCCGCAAGCGCTCTACGAGTGCTCGGGTCTCCTTACGCGGCCGCTAGTAGATGGAACACGTGTGCTCAGATCCTTGCGTTTCAAGACGAAATTCTGACTGAACATTTTTAAACGGAAGAAAGTATCATGATTGTTATATTCGCACCAAGGGCGTTGTAAGAGGTCTAGTCGAGAATAAACCCTCGAGCCAAAGGCTCTCACGATTTCTCGCCGCTCGATCATTAGAACCAGTTAACGCCCGTGGCACGTAATTTTTAAAACTTATTTTATCGATTAAAATTTGCTTCTTTACTAATTAATTAGATGTTAACTTGGCTGTTTGCCATTTCATACTTCCCTCCCGTAATTCTGTCCATAAGAGAACATGTTTCAACTGGTTTCATATTTCCCTCGTAACGCCGATCCTTTCAATTCAGCAGAGTAATGCAATGCATATCGAGCTCCGCATCAAAACCGATAACGTATCAGTAAATAAAACTAATTACATTTGCCCTAACTTGTTAGCGATGTGACTTTAAAGTGCTACAACATTTAAGGTTCATCATAAATTGTCAAACTGTTCTGACTAACAAATTTCCTTTTTTTTACATCTGATAATACACACCAACTTTAAAATGGAAATTTCTTGGCATTAGGCAATAACCTAACCAAAATTTTGTATGAAACTGAACAATCTAATACTTTTGCATATTAATATTAACATTAAGTTTTTACCAAATATGCTGGTCTGCATAATTTGTTGAGACTATAGTTCCCACTTAATCACAGCTTACAACGTAGTATAGAAGCATTCTCTCAGGACATTAAGACTGTCGTACTACCACACTTCCGTCTGCTCGTGAAGTTTTTAATCTCTGCACGCCACTCCAACTCTAATTTCTCACTCCACTTTAATGGTTGAGCTCTTCACTACAGTTCCTCGCTCCAGTTCCGCACTTCAGTTCAGATATGGAGCTTTGCCCTCTCTAGCATCCTCCTCCTCCTCCTCCTCCTCCTCCTCCTTCTTCGGCCTGCTTTCTCTTCGTCCCGAGCCCCTCCAAAATCGCCCCCCTGCCAGCCGTCGTCGCAGATCTGGTCCTCCGATTTCCTCCGCCATTCAGACGCCTCGCAGGCGCGTTGCGCGACCGCTTCTGATCCCCCATTTCACTTAAGCTCGGCGCTCCCGCTTTCCGCTCTGATTTCTACTACCGCTTCTGCTTCAGTGTCTGTCCCAATCTGGCTGAGCAGTTTGAACTTCTGTTTCAACCACTCAACAATCTCCTCACGCTTGGAATTCTTGTTTCGGTTCATCAACGTATTTTGAATCCCCGCACGATGTTTGGTTTGAAAAGTAAGTGCTAGCCGATTGGGAGGCAGATGTTTATATCCTGGATGTGTAATGTGATTTCTTTACCTGTCAATCATCGGAAACGCTACCCTGTAAAGCAAAGTTAATTTTAAATGCTATTAATGCGGTAAACATGAAATGATAATTCGTATTGTCAGAGTTGAGACCAGTGGTGTTGAATTTTCATTTACAAAACTGTACTCCTAAGTAGTGTTAGGTCGAACCGTAAGCCATCATTATTCGGTCGAAATCAAAATTTAAAAAAAAGCATTCTCCTAGTAGCTTAGTCTTCCTTTGTAACCCATCCACGTCTCTTTATCAATATTATTTTGCTCTCTCTGTATCTCGAAACAAAATAAGTGACTGAGCATACAATTACTTACCTAAATATCTTAATATTTACATATTTAATTTTTGTGAATGTAACAGCGCCGTCTGTTCTGTAGAGCTCTGTTTAACCCTTCGTTATGCGCACATGGGTTTACTAGACTTTGGACATGGGCTCTTTAAGAAATCAACATCGCTTCGAATTGTAGGTGTAAGTTTACAAACTCTGGTGACGTTTTGTGTTGAAGGTTTTTGCGTCCGATGGCAATGTCACCAGACAAACGGAATGGCGAGAACTCAAGTAGCTCCTCTTTCCTGTGGCATGGTACGCCACGCCAGACCCCGCGCGCATTATGGAAATATATGCAGTTCGCAGAAAGATTTGAAGCCATTGCGTGGTGTGCTATTCTCGTGCATTAGGTTACATACTTGCTTCACATTTGTAGGGGTTAGAATAACATAATATATTCTTAGTATACTACTTTTAATACGAGTAAATTTTTTTTTTGTTATTTAAGGTCGCATCAACTACTAGGTCATTAGCGACCACTATTGCTTGTAACGGTATGGTAACTGTGAGTTGACACGATAATGATGATGATAGGGGGTGAAAGGACGAAACACAATACAACCATGCCCGAGGCGGGACTCGAACCCGCGATCCTTCGGTCCGAGTTCGCTACGGGCACTACTGCCTTAGCGATCTCGGCCACCGGCACTAAAAATTTTGTTCAGTACGATGTGGGAAATATAAGACGACGTCTTGTAGAAGACGATGTTGGGGATGTTTGTTTCGAAGAAAATTATCATTGTGAATATCACAGATTGTGAATCGGAAGATAACGATAAAGAAAAGCTTGAATTTAGATGTGGACCATGAAATAGGCAAACCGGATTTAGAGTAACTTACAACAACATCGTGGAGGACACTTACGTTTTCACAGGTACAAAAAACATCATACACATGTGATTGATTGCGATTTTATCCTATATTCAAAATGTTGATGAAATAAGTGAGAGAGTTTATTTAAGAAATTGAGTGCAATAATCGCATCGACTACAGTGCAAGTATGAAGAATTTGGCTTTATGTTTACTGCAAACGAGCTCCAATCTTATTTTGGGAATGTTGTTTTTAATAAAGAAGGCGCTAGGCTTTCAGAATAAATTTAACATATTTTCACTAAAGGGATAAAATATTAAGTCAAAGAAACAATCCTTCGGCACCACCTAAAGAGAAATAGTTGCCAGCCCTCCTACATGGAAAAAAATATTGTCACACCAATACATTTTTAAAAATGAGATACTTTCTTATGTTTGTGCAAACATGAAAACAATAGAATGCAACTGTGCAAAAATAGAAACTGCAAAAATGTAAACACTAATATTGATAAGGAAAAAGCAGGAATAAATACTTCCGGTTTATTGTTTATTTTATATTATGTTCCGTTTTCTTGTTCAACATGCATCATAATTCATTCTTAAAATATACTACACAAGTTGAAATTACTTTTTATTAAACACCCTTTTAACATTTCGTGAGGCAACGTTCTAATCTTTTTGTTAATCGTTACGTGAAAGTTATTTCTTAAAGACCAAAAAAAGATAACGAAGTCGATAACAACTCCTCTATCGATCGCTGCCTATCTCAACTTCCATCGCGGCAACTGTACTTCAGTAGGCTCTTACAGTTTTTTCAAGTTCTCCCCTGGCTATTTTCTTAGCTGTCTAGTAACTAGATCACATAAGTCATTTCAGGGAAGTGGATAGCGAAGTCCTTCTCGAAAACAATACGCATAAATTCCAAGTTTACTTATATTTAAGTAAAGTAACTTTAGTGTTATTTTTTCAGAACTACAAAACAAAAAAAGGGCAAAAAGAAAATCTCTAAAATCAACAAAATGACAATACACACAACAAAACAATAATATAAGTCACATTATACTAGAAAAAATCTAAATTTCTTTTCACAATGTGATTGCATAAACCTTAACTTTACAATAAATACGTTTAATACTAACGTTGTTAATCGTTCCGCTTCAGGTTTTCTATTTCTTACTTTTAAATTTCCTTCAACAGATTTATTTTGTTCCGGTAGTTTCCATAAATATAGTTACCACAACACCTTACCGATAATACCATAATAATTAGTTCTAAGGTTAAAGTATATAGGGATATTTGAATTGGTTTAATTATGCAAATCTATGGATTCATTTCAAGTTAATTTTAACAGCAGTAAATTTATTGTGTTCTATTCTCACCTTGCGCTGCGCCTCACCGACGTAACGGGACTAGAGGTCGTTCGCGGCACCTCGACCTCGCGACTTCTCCCCTCCCTGCAGTGGTGCTGAGGAAGTGTTAAGAACAACCGTTCTAAATTAATGCTTTTACTCATATCAGTGCGCAATGCACGACTTGCCTAGCTTATATTTTCCTTTATATGTGTAATTTGCAACAGACAAAAAAAAAACACTTCACGGTACAATGAACGCACCGAAGGCATAGAAAAATTTGCTAGAGAATCGAGTTTTCTATTCACCTTGCGCTAAAGAAAGCCGGCATTTATACCACCTGTCCATCTTTTCTTTTCGGCTGTGATGTACTGTCACTATCTTTGGCTGCTCAGGAACATTTTGGAGTATTTCCTTACTTACTACTTACTTTCTACCTACGTCTTGCATCCGTATTTAGTGAAGTGCTCATTTCTTTATCCAGTACGTGCCACTCACAAAATATATTTTATATTTACGTGCTGTCCACAATTAAATAATTAATATAATTGGAAAAAATTACCTCATAATAATTGGAGCTATTCTTCACTGTTATATTTTGTAGCATCTGATTCGCCAGGTAATGTTCGGCAGACGGAATACTTGTTTTCCTGTTCCACAACGAACTGTTCGTTCACCTTCATGGCGTTTTCACTACGAATGACTTATTGTAACAACTCTTACGTAGGTTGGGCATCTTCTTCATTTGTGATTGGCGGAGGCTACACCACTTGAGTCAAGTTTCCTTCTCTTATCATATTGCTTTCTCTTAGATCGTCTGAAGGTACGCTCTTGTATTCTATGGCTAGTGTTCTCGTTTTTCTATCGAGTATCCGTAACTGGATGAATGCATCAATTAAGTAAACACATCTACACAAACTAATAAATACTTCTACCCATATTTAGTTTTAGATAGTAGTTCAAATAAATCTAATTCCATGATTTCGTTACGTCCTGAGGAAATTATGGCATGCAAAGGGCTTAAAAATGCCTATTAGAGTTCTTACATTCTGACAAGGTAGACATTTCGTAAGTTCATCACTTATTTGTTCTATTTTCCCTGGAGAGTGGCATACTTAGCTTATGGCTTTTTCGAATGTGTCCGTTCCGATGAGCCGATGCTTTCTGAACAAATCAAATAATTTATTATTTTTACACTATTGGTATCCATACTCTATAAACGTCCATACTCCTTAGATACTCTGTTTAGAAGAACATTGTCCACACTACCTGCCTACCTATTTTAGCGGATTTCTTTGTATAGTCTCTGTATTCCTTTGAATAGCATGTGGGTGTCCTTCATTCAATTCTCCTCTTAAAAACCTTTTCATATTCCCGAAGTTCTTCCCCTTCTTAATCTTGGAGACGAGCCACAATTTTCCGTGATAAATCTGGCATACTCGTTGTATTAATCGCTCAACTTTTCTTGAACCTTGCTTCCTCCTCTTTGGCACTATAGACAGTTGAAGTGAAAAGCTCGCAGCAAGAACTGATGACAACATTCCAAGCATATCTTTACTGCCGCTAAATATAAATATTTTCTTTTTAAAACTTCTGACTGTGATTTTTCCAAACGATGTAAAGAAATGACCAAAATTATTGATGTAGTTGCGAATGCATGACAGATTCTCCAGAGATTGGCATTGTTTCATAAAGTCTAATGGCAAATTTCGTAACTAATACCCTCACTCTACCGATTTTTTTCAATCCATCGTTCAAGAAAAATTGGGCGAATAATACCTAATTCGACGGCCGATGCAGAGAATAACCTATCTCCTATTCCTTCACGGTCGAAGGTAAGATTCCGGCGTAACGAATCAGGTAATACATTAGCTTAGCATGAAGACAATATAATATTCCAAACATAAATAATACATTTTCTCTAATAGGTCCATAGAAGGAACTTAACACAAACGTTATATACCACGGGACAGCGCTACTAGACTTAGAGCGACTTAATGCGTTTCATAAACAGGGTTAAACTAGACCTCAACCAACACTTCGCTCAAGTCTAGCAAATATTTACTGCAACGTGTATTTCATCATCTTCCCACAGAATCTCGCATCTCTCAGTTCGTGCCGGTCTGCTCCAGAATACCCAGCATCCCCCCTCCCCCAAGCGCGTCATCAACGTGCGCGTACCCAACGACCCGCGCGCCCTCTCTTGCATCCGGCGCGGCGACCCCGTCACCTCCACTGCACGTGCCCCGCTTCTTCCGCAGATGTTCTCCTTCGCGGTCCACCGGCATCCGCTACAGCATCCCCGCCCCCGCCACCGCACCTTCTCCTCCACGTCCGTCCGCCGGCACGCTCGCGTTCGCCCCCTTGCGCCCGCCCGCTCGCTCTCTCGCCCGCTCGCTCGCTCGCCCGCCCGCTCACCCGCCCGCTCGCTCGCCAGCCCGTTCGCTAGCCAGCCCGCTCGCCAGGCGGCCGCTTTGCTCGCCCGCTGGCCCATGTCGCAGAAACGCCCGCCCTCGCTCGTCTGGCCCACAGCCGCGCTCCATGTCGCCGTCAACCCACCCGGTTGCTCGCCGCCGCTCGACTTCACCTGCCCGCGGCCGTTGCTCGCCCGCCGCCGCCCGCTTGCTCGCCCGCCGCCGCTTGCTTGCCAGCGCTTGCTCGCCAGCCCCGATCTCGCCAGCCCGCTCTTCGCCAGCCGCTTGTCGCCAGCCCGCTTGCTCGCCAGCCCGCTTGCTCCACAGCCGCTTGCCTCGCTCAGCCCGCTTCCCGCGCGCAGCTGCTCACACCACCAGCTCACTCAGTCCCCGGCGCCGCTCGCTCTTCCCTCAGCCGGGCTCGCCACCGTTCGCTCGCTCGCCCGCCCAACTCGCTCTCTCTACCGACGCTCGCTCGCTTCACGCCGCCCACTCCGCGAGCGCAGCTTCATTTGCTATCTCGAGCGCCCCGGGCGGGCGGCTGCGAGCTGCGACCCATCCGCACGTGGCGTACCCACCTCCCCTCACCCCTCCTCACCCCCTCCCGACACCCGTTCCCGGCGGCCACATCCGTCGGTGCTTGTTTTAAGATTTCCCCGATGTCCGGCAGTCGCAGGGGACCGCCGGGCTGTGGCGGGGGAGCGGAAAAGGAGCAGGACGAGAATGGGAGGAGGGAGAGACAAGGACGGCGGGCGAAGTACGAAACTCTGCGAGCAAATGGGGAGGAGAGCCCGAGCTCTACGGCCGTCTCGCATAGGCGCCCCGACGCTTCGTGGCAATTACTTTATGCGCTGGGATGATTCCGAATGAAAAGCACGAGATCTGCTCTATTGGGAACCAGATCGATGCCTTTGAGACGTCTCGGCCACTTCGTGCTGTTCCCTGGAGCCGTTTTACGAATGAAAGAGAAAATCTTGCATCTGATTTATTGTATTTTGTCTTGTCTTGCAATATGCTGTGAAATGTCTTAATAAGCAGTGCAGAATCGTACGGTATCTAGAGAATTATTTTAGTTTGATTTCAAAACTCCTCACTATGGCTTTGAATCTATTATGCCGCAAAATTCAAAAAAACAGACGCTTCTGGAAAGACTAAGAAGAAATGTTGTATTTTTTCAGTAACAAAAGAAAAAGCCGAAATACTGTCTAACCTCAAACAAAACGCGTGACGATTGAACGAGAAAGAACTGAAAAAACTAATAATTTGCTTTAACTAAACAAAGTGATAAAATAGTGTTCATAATACATAGTATGCTCCGCATAGCTTAGAAATTAAT